TTGGGCCGTCTGGAGGCCATCTCGGGCGTCTTGGAGCGATTTTTCGGCGACTCGGGGCCCTCTTGGAACCCCTTGGGGGTCTCTTGGGCCCCCCCCCTCCTCCAAAGCGCCGGAAAAAGCGGAGCATGGCGCCCCCCCCCCCCCTATCTTCCACTCCCCCGGAGCGGCCCCGGGGTTCGCCGGAAACTCGCACCCCCCCCCCCCCCCCCCACCCCCCCTTCCCCGGCAGAGCCACCCCGGCGACCCCCCCAGAGGCTGAAGCTCAGCCTCGAGGCTGTAGCTGAGACTCCTTGAAACTCACACGCCGGATCGGCGGATTTGTTCGGCCCCTTTGGATTGAACATGGAGGAAGTCTCAGGCGGGAGCTTCGTCTGTGAGTGACTTGCGACGAAGTCTCAGGCGGGAGCCCCCTGCTTGTGGGTCCCGCACTTCATCTTTTTAACCCGAGCGTGCCATCGGAACCTCGTAACCGTCGTCACTTTTAGGCTCCTCTGGGTTAACTACGGAGGGTCTCATGCGGGAGCTTCGTCTGTGAGTGAATTGTGAGGAAGTCTCAGGCGGAAGTCCCCTCCCTATGGGGTCTGCCCTTCATGTTGGTAATCCGAACGGGTCGTCGGAAACCTGTAACCGTCGTCACTTGTCGGTTCTTCTGGACTGAATATGGAGGAAGTCACAGGCAGGAGCTTCGTCTGTGAGGGAATTGCGAGGACGTCTCAGGCGGGAGCCCGCTCCTTGTGGGGTCCGCACTTCATGTTGGTACTCCGAGCGGGTCATCGGAAACCTGTAACCGTCGTCACTTTTCTTTTCTTCTGGGCTGAATGTGGAGGAAGTCTCACGCGGGGGCTGCGTCTGTGAGTGCATAGCGAGGAAGTGTTAGGCGGGAGCCCCCTCCCTATAGGGTTCTCGGCGAACTCCACCAAGCGTAACATTCGAGCACCCTAAAGGGGCGCATCACGAGGCATTCGTCACGCGTCTGTGAGTGAGTTGCAAGGAAGTCTTACGCGGGAGCCCCCTCCTATGGGGCCCCCATTGAAGTACACGGCACACTATATCATATATCATCAGCGCGTCAGAGAGCAGAAGAAAGCAGCAGGGATCAGCAGAGAGCAGCAGAGACCAGCAGAGACCCGCAGAGAGCAGCAGAGACCAGCTGAGGCCGTGCATGAGAAGAACAGGCGGGATGGAGATGAGGGGGGGGAAGGGAGGAGGTGGAGGAGGAGGAGGAAGAGGAGGAGCAGGAGGAAAAAGACGAAGAGAAAGAGGAGAAATTGAACAAGGAGGGCGAGCAGGAGGAGACGGAGGATGAGGAAGGTGAGGAGGATGAGGAGGAGGCGCAACAGAGGGCGAGACGGGGGGCTTCGGCCAGGGCGAAGCGGAAAGAGCGAAGGGTAATCTAAATCGATTCTCATGACCGTCGGAGTTTATTTTGGTTATTGTGAAACATGTCTGCCAGGCTTCTGGTATTTCTGCAAGCGCCTTTGCTCACCATCGCCTTCATCAGCGCCACCGCATAATCGCCGTTATCTTCATCGCCGATAGTGCCATTTCCGCCATCATCAGTCAATCATGTTCACCACCGACACACGGACATAATCATCGCCACCGCCGTCATGAGCATCGGTGCCGTCATTTGTTTGTTCGTCTTGATCGTCATCATCGCCACCACCATCGCTACTATCATCATCGTGCTTCCGTTGCCGACGGCATCATGATATCGTGCCCACCTGGGCCATCAACCCGCACTGAAATGCTTGCTCGCCACCGCGGCCTTTGAGACGCCCTGGGGAATTTCCGACAGTAAACGCTATCGCGGCTGGACCAGTTGTGCCAAACCAGCTGGCCGGTCTGCGCGCGAGCTTGCGCGCGCCAGCGCAGCCGCAGAGATGCGCCTGCCAGTGCCATGCAGTCGCCGCAATCGCGTCTCTACCAGTTTCTCCCTGTGCGATCTCCACATTATCTGGCCTAGTCGCTCATTTCATTTTGAAATCGTGATATCCCAGCCCAGCCAGACATGGCTCCCCCCATCAATCTTGTCAAATGACCCTATGCGCGCATGCTCGGTTAGATAGAAAAGCAAATGGTCAAACACTCGTGACAACAAATTGCGCAACGTTCACATCCGCATGCACATGGCCACAGCGGACAAATTACGTCAGTGCTGCAATCGTTCCACTATAACATCATGAAGACGGGCAGGCTTTTGCACAGCACGTCTTGCAGATTTTCTGCCCGCGCGCATTTGCTGACACCGAGCGAACCCGTATGACTTTGGCGCTCTCGTCCAGAGCCCGCATTTTCAGCCCACCACGCGGTGCCTCCCCTGCGTTGATTTAGCGTGCGGCCGGTGCGCACATCCGTGTCACACTGTTCCACACGAGCCACGCTCGCGCGCCGCCGCGCCCGTGTGTGTGTGTGTGTGTGTGCGTGCGGAAATCCGTCCGCAAACTCTGGTGTTCGACGCATTTGAATCTAGAACTCCTCAGGAACATCGGAGAACGAGTCTTTATCTTAAACCACGTGCCTGCAAGTTTTCTTGGCTTTCTGCGCGCGCGCACTGCCTCATCACCTTCGTCAGCGCCATAGCACCGCCGCCGCTACCGGCATCGTCAGTCACCGCCACTGCCGCCATGATCAGTGAATCACCTTTATTGCCGACGCATGGACATCATCATTATCGTTGTCAGCAGCATCGGCGCCGTCATTGGCCTTGCCGTCGTAACAGTCACTTTCGCCACCACCATCGTTACGATCATCATCTTTGCGGTTGCTCCCGTTGTCATAAGATATCGCCCCTTCCCGAGCCACTGACCCGCGCTGAAATGCCTAGGCGCCAGCGCGGCTTTTGAATCGCGCTTGGAAGTTCCCATTGGTAAGTGCCATCGTGGCCTCACCTTTTGTGCCAAACCAGCTGGTCGCTCTGCGCGTGAGTTTGCGCGCGCCAGCGAGACCGCATAGATGCGCATACAAGTGCCAACCAGTAGCCGTAATCGTGGCCGTCAATTTGCGTTTTGCCAGGCACGTGAAGGGTGGGAGGGTGGTATGTTTGCGCGAGCACTGGAGTAGACGATGTCAATTTCTGCAAGGTGGATTGTACCGCATTGTTTCTACCGCGTATTTTTTTTCTTCTTCCCCAGTTTACAGCACATAGCTTGCACCATGCTGTTTGCCCCACATAGCTTACACCACGCAGCTTGCATCGTACAGCTTGCATCAAATGGTGCTGACGCCGAAGCTGGCACCGCATATCTTGCACCATCGCTGACACCACGGAGTTTGCGTCACACATATTGCACCACATAGCTCGCACCGAAAAAAATCTACACTACGTGCATTCTCCTTTCTAAAAGAAAAGTAGACTCTACCCCCCCAGAGTTAACAGGTCACTTTTTCGTATTGTAATTTACATATGATTTTGCCCAATCGTCAATCCTAAATATGAGTTCGTATTATCCCAGCCAGGCCAGTATCACTCCCCCGCCATCCTCTGCACAAAGTATTATCCGCGCGCACTCGTTTATCAAAAGTCATAAGTTTTCAAGAATCCCTTGCACAACTGGGACGAAGTGCACACGCGGGCGTCGTCGCGCGCGCATGCCGAAATCCTTCAAAAACCTTTGGTTTCGAACGGATTTTTAAATCGAGTTTCCAAAACAAATACAAACACACAGGGTTTCGCAACACAGATGTTCTAAAACAGCTTACGCGCGCGCTCTTGCGAAATCTTACGGAAACCATAGGTTTTTCAAGCTTTTCAAAAAAATGTCAAATGGGCTTCGCGCGCGCATGTCGAAATCTTTCGAACGCCCATGCGCGCGTGCCGTCGCGAGAATCCTCTGTAACAGCTGGGGCGAAGTGCAGACGCGCGCGTCGTCGCGCGCGCATGCCTAAGTCCTTCAAATACCTTCAGTTTCGGAAGGATTTCAAAATCGTGTGTCCCAAAAAACACAAGGTTTCGCAACACGGATTTTCAGCAAAAGCGTGCGCGCGCGCTCTTGTGTCGTCGTCGTCGTCGTCGTCGTCATCGCCGTCCTCCTCCCTCGATGTCGTCGTCGTCGCCGTCGTCGTTCTCTGTCTTTCCTCGTCGTCGTCGTCGTCGTCTTGGCGTCGTCGTCGTTTCCGTCGTCGTTGTCGCCGTGGTCGTCCTTCCCTCGTCGTCTTTGTCGGCGTTTCGTCGTTGTCCCTCCTACTTCGTCGCCGTCGTCGTCGTCGTCGTCGTCGTCGTCGTCGTCGTCTTCCCTCCTCCCTCGTTGTTGTCGTCGTCGCCGTCGTCGTCCTCCCTCCTCCCTCGTCGTCGTCGTCGTCGTCTTCGTTGGCGACGTCGTCGTCGTCGTCGTCGTCGTCGTCGTCGCCTTCGTCGTCGCCGCCGTCGTCGTCGCCGTCGTCGTCGTCGTCGTCGGCGTCGTCGTCGTCGTCGGCGGCGTCGTCGTCGTCGGCGTTGTCATCGTCGTTGCCGTCGTCGTCGTCGTCGGCGTCGTCGGCGTCGTCGTCGTCGTCGGTGTTGTCGTCGTCGTCGTCGAAGTCGTTGGAGACTCGCCCGCAATGTCTACCGTTGTCGGCGTTGCCATGATAGCGCGCCCACCCAAGTCGCCGACTCGCAATGAAGTGCCCGCTGGTATGTGCCCAACGATCAGCGCCACCGCGGCCGCGTCGGTCGCGCCAAACCAGCTGGCCGCTGCGCGCGCGTGCTTTGGTTGGCGCGGCCGCAGAGACGCACCAGCCAACACCGAGCATGCATCGCAATCGCCACCTTGTGGGTTTTGCAAACCAAGTTGCGGGTGGGTGGGTGGATGTTTGCAAGAGCACGGGATGTGTCAATTCGTTTGTTAAAATCAATTTCACCACATAGCTTCTACCACATGCCTTGCGTCACATAACTTACGCATCCGCAGTACATTGATTGTGTAGGATCCGCGCTGGTAAACCGTCTATCCACATCATAAGCCATTCTGGTCGCACCTTTAGACGTGTCGTTGGAGCAGGCTGGTCTTTTCGTCTGCGGCACCATGTTTCCAACAGTTATACACATTCCGTAGCCGTTTTTTGGCTCAAGTCATACAATTTTGGTTCCAGCGGGCTGTTTGAAGCAACCTAGCGTTCACACGAACATGCAGAGAGAGGGGGACAGAAAACGAGAGAGAGCGAGAGAAGCGCATTTGCCGTCGTGAACTCAATGGAGCGGCAACTTGTTGGTCCAAATGGGCTGCATGGCATCCAGGATGCGCATGTTGTTGCGCAGGTGGGGTTGGCATGGCAAGGTCGACTGATTGTGACGGCTTTCCTTGTTGTCCAGCAATCGGCGTTGGTCACCAAGTACTTCTTGCCTGACGATGAACACACGTGTACTGTGTACAAGATGAATGGGGAAACTTGTCCGTGGCTTTGGGGGTTGTCAATCGCACAGGCACTCACATTCTGCGGGTTGTTTATGCTCTTTGTTTGTAGCGTCGGGCAGGATGCAATGCGTAGGACTTTCCAGCATCAGAGCAGGTTGTTCTTCCTACTTCTTGGTCTGCTTTGTTCGGATCTGGTCTACGCCGTCACCACAAACGGTGGCTATTTCGTCCAGCCATTTGTGAACGTGTTTGGTTACTTGTTGTTTGCGTGTGCAGCTGTATTCGAAGTACAGTTTGGGAGCGCCATCATATGTGGAGGAGGGAATCCTGGCGATAATGATCCCATGCGCTGCCTCTGGCAAACCTGTCTCGTTCTGTTTTACTACTTCGTGTTGATCGAGAACTTCATCGCGATGACCATCATTGACGAAAACATCCCAGAGGTAGCGGACAATAACGTTGGTGCTCTGATCCAAGTGGCTCTCGAAATCGCGGTCGTGGTCGAGGTCTTTCTGCTACCGCTATTTGCAGCTTTCGAGTCGGACCACGGAGGGAACGCTTCTGAGAGCCGTATCGATGTGCTTTCACACAGGGAGCGCTTCCGTTGCCGCGTGTGCCTGTCACTCTTCATTGTCATCGAGTTCATTGCATTGCGGGTCAAGTATTTGGTGCCTGCTAGGTCTCATGAATACGATTGTGCAGTGTATAAGTTAACACACAATGGCACGTGCCACGCCCAATTTATAATGGCCTTGGTGCAGTCCATCGCATATCCGACCATACTCTGTCTCCTAGTGTGCCATGTAAGAACAAGGGGTATGAGATTATTCGCATCGCTGAATAGGAGGCTTCTGTGCCTCTGTGCATTCCTGACGATGGTGAACGTCATGTACCTTGTGAGCGTGCAGCTCCCTGAGAAGGAAGGTGCGTATACTCTGCAAGTGATCGTCGACCCGCTTGCTGCCATTATTGAAGGATTAACAGCTGTTCTAGAGGTCCAACATTGGGGAAAAGAGGAGCATCGCGTCGCAGGCTTTGTATGGAGGCTGCTGCTCACGATCTCGTACATTGTCCTGCTTGTCTCGTACATTATAATCACTGTTCGCCTGGATAGCGCTCTCGACGCCGCCAGCGGGGCAGGGGAAGAAGCTAAGAAGATTGCTTTCGCTCACGTCCTGGTCGAGACCGCCACGGTGATAGAGTGTTTGCTGCTAGCGCTTTTTGACTCGCACAAGGTCGTGGATGATCCCCAGTAGACTGGCCCTTATCGGAACGGGGAGCTTGGAGACTGGGGCTCGCGCGGCCATGGGTCAGCAGTAGAGCCTCAAGTTTTGAGCATTCGGAACGGGGAGGGGTTTCCTGGAATACATTGGAGGGGGAAGGGAAGGGACATTGAAGTTAGCCAGGCTGGATCCGAGGGAACAGCCGGGGAAAGCCCGCCTTGGGCAGAGACCGCGCCGCCTTCACTAGCATGATTCCAGTTGCAGTGGCTCTCCTCCTGTTCCCCCTCCTCCTCTGCCCTCCCGCCAAAATTCGGAGGCTGCCTGCCCGCACTGGAGCTCGTCTCGCAGTTCACCATGGCTTCCGCCGCCCTGGCACCGCTCAGGCACGCAGTCGCCCTCGTATCACAGGACTGCGCTCGAATTTCAGGGCCCGCTTTTTCAATTTCAAGGCTCGCATTTTCCAACGTGCCGCGCACAGTATACTCCGCGACACGCCTGCTAGCAAAAAAGAGAGCGAATGTGTCTCCGACGGTTGCACGGAGGGAAGGCTGGCCGCAGTCAGCACGGGGTTCTGGCTCTGGCGCCGCGCAGGTGCGCCAGAGACACAGCATCCGACAGCCACGCGGCTGGAGGGCCCAGACCCTCACCACCCACCAAACCACCCCAACCCAACCCGAAGGCTCAGATTTACCCTCGATTTCCAGTGGGGGGGGGTCGGGAAACATCGACAAAAGCACATGTGGAACCCTTGCCCCCCCCAACCCGAAATTCGGGTCTTCGGGTTGGGTTGGGGTGGTCTGGTAGGTAGTCAGACCCCCGGAGGCCTCCGGGGCACCTCCGGAGGCCCGCGGGAGGGCCTCTCCCCATCGGCGGCAGTCGGAGGGCCGACGGGGCGCGGTCGGAGGGCGAGGTCGCCCCCGAGAGAGCGGCGCGGGAGGCGGGGCATCCAACAGCCACGCGGCTTCGGAGGGCCCAGACCCCCGGAGGCCTCCGGGGGTCTCCCCCGGAGGCCCGCGGGGAGGACCTCTCCCCATCGGCGGCGGTCGGAGGGCCGATATGGCGCGGGGAGGGCGAGGGCCGATATGGGCGGTCGGAGGGCCGATATGGCGCGGGGAGGCGCGAGATGCTCGCTCGCTCCTTGTCTCACCACCCACCAAACCACCCCAACGCAACCCGAAGGCCTCAATCTGCCCTCCACTTCCAGTGGGGGGGGGGTCGGGGAGCGTTGGAAAAACACATGGAACCCGTACCCCCCCCCAACCCGAAATTCGGGCCAAATTCGGGTCTTCGGGTTGGGTTGGGGTGGTCTGGTAGGTAGTCACCCATGGGCCCTCGTCGTCACAGGGGGCGCTTGGCGCAGTGAGGAGAGAGGCTTGCAGTGGCCCAGGGGAGAGGAACTCGGGGCGGGAGGGTGTACTGCAGCACCGTTGGTACACCGATGGTTTATACTTGGCCTCCTCCTCCTCCTGCTCCGCCATTTTGGCTCGGGTCTGGCTCAAGCCTGGCTCAAGCAAGCACAGTTCAAGCAAGTCCAGTTTGGATTCGGTTCTCTTTCCTGAAGGATCGGCCCCGCCTTGAGATGTCCGCTTTGTGCGACCGAGAGCGCCAAAGAGGAGATGTATGTTGGTCGACGCAGCAGAAACGAAGACGTAGGTTACAACGAAGTGCAGTCAAAGGAGCATTTGTTTCCAGTGAACGCGTCAAGTCTTCTGCGGGATAATTGGCAGTATCAAATTGCTCATCGATGTATCCAGACAGCCACCTTGATGCGCCCGTGTTTGCTCCTCATAGACAAGTGGAACCGAAAGGTTCTGATGTGGGATCCACTATCTACACATATCCATGCGAAGCGCCTGCCACACCGACCGCACAAACGGTGGATTGAGGATATTTCAGTTTTTGTTCGTACGACGTGCGCAGAGGAATGGGAATCAGTGGTATCAGATGTTGACGTATGGGCAAATATGGAAGATTCGTACGCGTCCCGCAGAAAACGTCCAACAGCGACACAACCACAGGACATGGAATAGTTTGGCCAGGGTATGATATGTGACGTTCATCCTCCGACTCTGGCTCCCAACTTTCCGACTCCAGCTCCCATCTTCCGACTCAGGCTCCAAATTTTCGACTCCATGTCCCATCTTCCGACTCTGGCTCCCAACTTTCCGACTCCGGCGCTTGTCTCTCCGATTCCGGCTCCCACTTTTCCGACTCCAGCTCCCAAGCTTCGACTCCAGTTGGCATCTTCTTCCGATTCCGGCTCCAGACTCTCCGACTCCAGCGCCTGTTTTTTCGACTCTGGCTCCCGAATTTCCCATTCCGGCGTCCATCTCTCCGACGTTGGCTCCCATCTCCCCGATTCCGGCTCCCACTAACTTTCCGACTCCAGCTCCCATCTTCCGACTCCGGCTCCAATTTTTCCGACTCCAGCTCCCATCTTACGTGTCCGGCTTCCAACGTTCCGACTCCGGCGCATTAGTCTCCGACTCCGGCTCCCAATTTTCCGACTCCAGCTCCTTAGTCTCCGACTCCAGCTGGCCTTTTCTTCCGACTCTGGCTCCCAACTTTCCGACTCCGGCTTTTGTCTCTCCGACTCCAGCTCTCGATTTTCCGACTCCCGCTCCCAATTTTCCGACTCCGGCTCAAATCTCTCCGACTCTGGTTCCCATTTCTCCGACCCTAGCCCCATTTGTCATATATCCGACTAAGAAACGTTCGAGTGATGCCGGCGCCTTGCCGCCACCGCCTAGCCCCGCGTAGGGCCGTACCCCCTCAAACGACACAGGCGCAGCCTCAGCCTCAGCCTCAGTCCCCTACTCTGGATTGGCATCTAAATCGGATTTACTCGAGCAGCGACTGATGTTGACCAGCTCCGTTTGCATGGGAGCGTGTTAGGGCAACAAACGATGGAAGTAAGGTCCCGGCGCATTTTGAAGGAGACGCAGACAGTTACCACGTGAAGGTGATCACGATCGGAATTCCGACGCAACGGAGATTTACCCAACCATAGTTTGGATTGGAGCCCGATGTAGACAGCGCATGCCGTGGTATACAACCCAAGATCAAAGCGACGCTGAGGTACTCGTAGATGCGATACGTCGGGGCTTTAAGAAAGGCGAGTGCGAACATCGCTTCTTGTTTGCCTGTATCTTATAGTCTTACACATCTGGACAGTCGATGCCCCTGTGCGATTCTGAATCCTCTCCCTCCCCCTCCTCGCCTTGCTCCTCCCCATGCTCCCCCACCTGCGCCCACATCCGTCTGCTTGGTTTTTCATACAGGATCCCTGGAAGCCTTGACCCTTTCCCTGGGGCCAGCTTTTCGTTTGGAGCTTTCTTTGACTGTCTTGGGGGGCCCCGCGAGGGTCCTGGCATGGTCACAAACGGCGAAAAGTCTTCGCTGGGATTTTTCGACAAATTGGATGTCTGGGTCCCTCCTGCCTCTTCCTGCAGGGGGCGACGGGGCTTGAGAACGACGACGCCAATTTCTGAAGCAAAACATACATCACTGACGATCACATGCAATTGTGCTGCAACTCTCATTCACCAGGATGCCGAGTACAAGGGCACCTCCTCCTCCTCCTCCTCCTCCTTCTCCTCCTTCTCCTCCTCCTCCTGCTCCTCCTCCTCCTCCTCCTCCTCCTCCTCCTCCTCCTCCATGGTGTGCGCATGTATTCTAAGTTTCGCAGTGCGTATGCATGTATTCCATTCTCAACGTCCCCAGCCTCGCCCGCGTAGCCTCAGATAGCCCCAGAGGATGCTTCTCGTTGGGGGCTCCCTCGCTCGGCCCTCCTGCCCCCTCTTTGCCAGGGTCCGGAGGCTGCCCCGGCCGCGCCAGCCGCCCTGCCCGGGCCCCTCCGCGCGCCGCACAACGCCGGCAGGCCTGGCGGAGAGCACCTCCGCCTCCTCGGAGGGCGAGACCGCGGAGGGCTCGTGGTCGCGGGGCACGAGCCACGAGGCGGAGGCACCGCGGCCGCGGGGCGCGGGCGGTGTCGTCCCGACGTCCGCCGTCGCCTCTGCCGTCGCTGCCGGGGTTGTCGGTGCGGTCACGGGCGGCGGACGTACCCATGTCCACGCGCGGCGGTTCCAGGGTTCGATCCCATGGTTGCGCGGTCGCACGGATATCTTCCGCGCGCCGCATCCGCGACAAAATACATCGTATCCACGGGTCGCGGCCCAAAAGCCCAGCCCGTGGGGCCGTGGATGCCAACATGCTGGTGGACCGCCGTCCGCCGCCGTTGCTGCTGTCGCCGCCGTTGCCGTCGGATTACAAAGGATGACCGCCAGAGGCAACGCTCGGGGGGGATGGGCTCGAGGAAGAGGAGAAGGAGGAGGAGGAGGAGGAGGAGGAGGAGGAGGAGGAGGAGGAAAGGAGTGAGGGAGGGACGGGAGGAAGGGAGGGAGGGGGGGAGGGGGAGGGAGGGAGGGTGGGGGGGCGGGTGGGGGGGGGGGGAGGCGGGAGGGGGGAGGGAGGGAGGGAAGAGGGAGGGAGGGAGGGAGGAGGGGAGGAGGGAGGGAGGGAGGGAGGGAGGGAGGGATGGAGGGAGGGAGGGAGGGATGAAGGTAGGGAGGGAGGAAGGGAGAGAGGGAGGGAGGCAAGGAGACAGGGAGGCAGGGAGGAGGAGGAGGAGGAGGAGGGGGAGGAGGAGGAACAAAAAACACATACGCAATTGAAGAAGCATACTATGAGGACGAATATGACTAATAACACTACTAATAGTAATAATCGTAAGAATATTACGAAGAAGACGAATAGTACGACGAATACTCATAACACGAACATGCTATAACAACCAAGCCGAACTAAAACGAACACCAATGCGAATGCACTTAACAACCATACTACTGATATTAAGAAGAATAAGACGACGACCGCTACTAATATTTACAATTCGCATACCAGGAATAATACTAGTATAATTAATGTTAGTTTCACTAGTAATAGCAATGCTTCTGATACTAATAATATTATTCATAATATTAGTAATACTACTACTAATACGGATGATACTAATCTTACGATCAATACTACTACTACTACTACTGCTACTACTACTACTACTACTACTACTACTACTACTCATACTAATACTAATAATACGGATTTTAACAATCATACTACGACTGCTACTACTAATAATCATAATCGTACTAATAATATACTAGTAATATTACGAACGCTACTCGTATTAATCATACTGGCGATCATGCTAAAATCACGGCGAACACTAATACTGATACTACTACTACTACTACTACTACTACTACTACTACTACTACTACTACTACTACTACTAATATGATTTATACTAACACTAATACCAGCACTACTAACCACACTAATACAATTACTAATACTACTAATACCAATGCTAGTACTTTTACTACTGCTACTACTACTACTACTACTACTACTACTACTACTACTACTACTACTACTACTACGACTACTACTACTAATACTACTGATGGCATTACCAACAACAACAGCGATGCTAGCTAGTAGTACTAATACGTATACACGTACTATCACTATTACTGATAATAC